ATCGTTTCAAAGGTACGTGGCTGACCTTGAGTGCTGTGGAATGTCGTGTTCTGGCGCCGGTGCTGCTGGAGGTCGTGGGAACCCTCATGGACATTCCACGGCAGACCGACGCAGTCCCGATAGTTTCTTCGGTCAATGCTTTACGGCTCTGCAGTGACCTGAAACTGTTACAAACTTGGAGAACTCGGAGAACTTTTTCCTTTCTTTTCGGGTCTCGGATTGTGGAAAACGCGGCCTCGCCGCTCGAGAAGAAAACGCACAAAGACAACGGGCTGAAGAAACCTGGGAGCCTCTTTCTCCGTTGCGATTCACCCTATGGTCGCGAAATTGTGGACCCTGTTTACCTTCGTGTTCTGAAGATTGGAGCGCTTGTTCTTCAGGTTTGGTCACTGCATTCAAAGAAGAGCGCTTGAAGAGGAGATACAAAGAGACGCGAGGCGAGCGAGGCGAAGCTGGAAGAGGTCTCGCAGCCACGCCACGCTGTCCACAGAAGAACCCACAGAAGGACAGCGGGCTGAAGGAACCTTTGTCAACCCAAATCCAAACACATTGGTCTTTTTGCCAGGATCGAAAGGAGATGGAGGTTGAAAGCAGAAGAAGGAAGAAAAGGCTCTTAAGGCTTGGTCACAAAAACTGCACACACACACAGAACAAGAATCTCTGCGATGCCGATGCGAGGGCAAGCTAGCAAGGCTTGCCCGGCCCAAATAGAATTGCGCAGCCTTTATCAACCATTTTCTGGCAGATGTGACTTTTGCTTGCTCCTGCAAAAAAATATCCTAATCATTACCTGGCCCACTTTCTCAATTTCACTAAAAATATCATTGGTATCATACGCCTCATTTTGACTTCCTATAAGTTTAGATGCTGTATTTCTACAATTTGATTCTCTACAACTTGGCAAAGTTCATTAGGTAGCTTAATATCCGCATACTTGCTCGCTCTCCAGCCTCCAATATTGTTAAAAAAGTCAACTCCCTCGGGTTCTTTTCATCTTCAGCCTTGTTAATGAAATCACCAACCTTAACACGATATACTGTAATACCAGCATGCTTCAGTCTAAAGTAGGTTTTGTAGATAAAAAACATGTGAAAATTGTGTTTTGAAAAATTACTGCTCCACGAGCCTTGGCTGGAGGCTCCAACTTTCCTGCATTTGCTGGAGTTTCTTTCTTGGGAGGAGGGTCGACTGAAAAAAAGAGAGGGGCCTGTGGTGGGCGGCAGAAAATTGAGACAAATGTTATTGTTTTTTGTTGATGTTTTTTGCAAATCCTAAATGAAATAAACTCAGGTATGAACAGATTGCACTTTGAAGCGCATACTTTTTCAGGAAAAATAGAAACCAAAATTAGAAAAATCGAGTTGGACATGCGAAAAAAAAACACAAAGGACAATAATATGTTTTTTGTTTTTCGCAAGAATTCAGATTGAATAGTACTTCCTGAGAAGTATTGCTGTGAAAACTTTTGCTTGTACATTAAGTATGATTCAAAAGGAAAATGGGTGACCGGACCTACTGGTTTCCTTTCTTTTATTTTGGAAAATGTGCACTAGTTTGCCTATTTTTACTATTGTTGAAAATGGGGGGCGGCCGGAGCTCAGAGCCAGGACTGTGGCATGCGAATCATTGAAAAAAACAAAAAGACATAAAACAACAAAAAAAGAGATTTGGCAACTAGTCCAGAGATCAGACTAGTTGTGTAAGCAGTGTTTTTTGTGTTGTTTTCGTTGTTTTTTGTTTTTTGTTTTTTGGTTTTCACGCGAATTCAGATTGAATAGTACTTCCTGAGGAGTCTTGCTGTGAAAATTGTTGCTTTTACATTAAGTATGATTGATCCAGATTCATCTGTGCTTCTAGAGTGCAGCAGATAAACGCAGCCAAATACAGGCACACGTCCTCTTATGCCACGCATGCAGCAAAGCCAGTGGTAAGCTGCGGCTTTGGTCAAATTTCCTCCAATATATGATATATTTCCCAAGTGTCTCAATTTTCTGCCGCCCACGACAGGCCTTTTTGAAAAACAAATATCCAACTCTCCTGCATTTGCTGGAGTTTCTTTCTTGGGAGGGGAATCAACCGGAAAACATGATTTTCAAAAAATTATAGTCGACCCTCCTCCTGGCCTTTGCCAAAGGCTCCTAATCTGCGACACTTTACGGAAGTCAGTGTTTTTTTTATTGACCCTGCTCTCCTACCCTTTGTTGAAAGTTTCTACTCTCGTACACCTTGCTGTCTTTTTTCAATTGGGATCAGCCAAACAATGTCGCTAAGATTGCTGTATATAAAGGCATATAAAGACAATACAATGCATGTTTATAATTCACGGTATTTCCAGAAACGTGGAAAACGTGGGGCGTGACAGCGTCTCCTTCTGTTTATTTTGGGGTGGACATTAGTCCGCCGGAATTTCACTGCGATCCCCTGTAGGATTCTAAGGGGAAGGGCTGTAAGGCTGTAATTCATGTATTCAGAGGCTTGGTGCCAACTTTTGTTCCGTCTGTGTATACACCTGACAGGGTTATGGAAGACTGTTCTATATCCCACCCAGAACGGCCACGAAGATGTGCATTCGTCCCCCAACTCCTCACGCTTCATCCCCAACTTCCCCACCGCATGTACTTCACTCTTCTTCGCCAGGTCGATTCGCCAAGCACGGGCGACTCAGCCAGCGGGAGGGAAGTGTCCGGAAGAATGCCGGCGTTGTTGGCCTTTGTGTTGGTCACCAAAAATCTTACATTCCCTGGAATTGTCATGGTTGCGTGGATGCCATGGTCCGGGAAGGGCAGCCATGTTTCTGTACAAACAGATTTTCCACTTCCATGAGGACTCCAGGGAGTGCAACCCAGCTTGAAGTTTCAAAACCGGCAGGACCAGAATCTGTGATCCGGCAACGGTTCTGAAATGGCAGCTAGGCAGAGCCAAAGCATGTTCCAACGGTGTGCAGGTGTAAATGCCTGGTATTTGTGAGTTGTTTGATGTTATAATGTTGCTTGTCAACCTTTAACTGTTGCGGGCATGAACTTGTTGATTTGGACAGGACAGCCATACACATTGGACACCCCTTTCCGCCGATCTGCGCAATTTGCATCTTGAGACCACTGTAAGGCAGTCCTCGGTCCGAAGCCCGAGGTGAATCTGGCACCGGAGCGTGTCTTCTTGGAGCACCGTGTGTGCGGTGCTTGTAGTTTGCGCCTGGATTGGGGGGCGGCATGCACCTGAATAGGTCGACCAGAATCGGATAGAATTGCGTATCTTCAACCGTTTTCACATGGTGAGTATATAGCGGATGTTCATCCGAAGTGCATCCCTTTTCCGCGAGGGACAAATTCAAATGGTGGGGAGGTTTGGGTTCCATGTTCGTCCTCAGGTACGCTTGTCCCAAAGCATGGTACGAAGGGTGTTTTTGGTTCCACGACTCAGACTCCACCGGGTCCTGCGCACGCGCGACCGGAGTTCGACCGCAAGGATCCCAGCGAGTGGAGCGCGACCGTTCTGTGGACGAGTACATAGGAAGCTAGTCATCCTGGAGTACATATGGCAAAACCAAAAAAAAACATAGGAAGCTGGTAATGTTTTGGGACTCCAGGATGGTTCTATATACCAAAACAGCTTTGGAGAAGGTCAAACAGTTTTCTGCTCGGCAGGATGTTGTCAGGAGAGGTTTCTACCCACCAAGGGGACGGCAGTCTTTGATAGATATGACCAGGTTCTTTCAGAGACTCAGGTTCATCAAGGCACTTCAAATCCGGGGACTTCCAAGTAGTACTAATTATTTACATTTACATTATTCTGTTTCAACGCTGGCGAATGGCCAGCCGTATCCCCAATCAGGAGCAGTGAGCAAATGACCATTGGTCCCATAGGAGTGGCAGCGTAGCTTCCGGGCCGCGTGCAGCGGATCTCGCTATCACCAGGGGCCGAAAACTGACTGCCGGGGAGGATGTGGGATTGACCAAACTAGCGATGGCCTCCAACCTACTAGCGCCTCCAACACAATAGCGCTTGCCGGGGAGGATATGGGATTGACGATACCACAGTCACCACTCTTTTTTTGACCATCCAAAATTTCTGACTGAAAGAGCACTTGAGGATCCTGGCATACGATACCATGAATTGTTTGATCAACTTCACTCCAGCTGACCGTCGCCCTTGTTGTGGGATTCGGTTGTATGACGCTCTATTATACCACCAACGGCCCCCAGAGGAAAGTGACCAGTGCACACTGTGTGTTCGCAGGCTCCGATTGGTGAGAGCGCCATAGTGACTATATATATATATATATATGGTACCCCCCCCGGGACCTACCCTTTTGTACTTTTCAGCGGTATTTATGGTGAATTATGCACATGTTGACATTGATTTTTGGGTACAAGTTTTAGATCATTTTTTTGGTTGAAGGGATTGTGGGGGTGCCATATATATATATATATATATATTTTTTGACACAATAAGAAAGGAAACAGTGGTCAATGAAGACCTCTTGGGTGGAAACAGTTGGGCGAACTTTCCTTGCACAACTCCATATTTCATATCAAACACATCTGCTCAAACAAATCATCTGACCAAACACATCTCAAATGGTTCACATCTGGTCAAACACATAAAAGGTAGGTCCCGGGGGGGGCTAGCATATATATATATATATATGTGTACTGTAGTGGAAGAGATTTGCAGTAGAACCACAAACAAATTACCCGGCTTTGATTGTATAGATTGGCAACAGGAATGGACAACACGATTGCCCAGTCTTTTCCAGTGGAGGTTTATTTGGGACTGAGACAGCTACTGCAGTATCTGCTGCTGTGGTCCTTTTGTTCTGAAAGCGTGATGTCTGTTGATTCCCACAAGTACATTTGCAGCCCGTCCTTTTGACCTGTTGAAGTCCCTCCCGATGTAACCATGTAACCATGTATATCCAACCCATATTCATCCCAAGCCAACAAGTGTATGCCTTTTTTTTTCCGCTTCTTAGAGCTCCAAGCAGATCAAATTGTGACCGCAGCTCAGCCCGGCTCACGCCACACGCGTTGCGGCTTTTTTTCCCGGCGAAGGCCAGGCCGCGACCGCGGGAGAACCTCCCGCGGTGCGAGCCGTCTGCCCGTCGGTATGCGTGGGAGAACTAGCAGACGGTCGCAAGATACGGTGGGTCCGTTTGTGATTTTGGTTGCTTTGTGGAGCAAACTGCAGGGTTTGTGGAATGAAGACATCTGAAGCAGCCTTGTGGTGTTTTCCGAAAGCTCTTGTAGTGGCTTCCTTCGCGGACAGGTGCTTTCTGCATACCGCCTGGTTGTGTTAGTGCGTGGTGCAAGCACCAACACTTAATTTCATCAACGTCCCGATCGGATCTGCTCCGTGACTCGGGCGACCTCGTCAGGAAGCTGATCTGCTTCAACACTCCATCTGAGCTCATCTGAGATGGACGCCTTTGTCGCCAGCAGGCGAGAGTGTATCGTGTAGGACGCGGGGAAGGGGGAAGGACCCCGGGGAAGGACCGGGCGGGTGGTCTGGTTGACTGGCGGTGTGGTGTCATGTGGTGTGGAGTGAGAGGATTTGGGACAAAGGCGGATCGCGGCGAGGAGGACAATGAAATTACTGGTCCAGGAGTCACAGGTCGGGTGCCGAACGAACGGAGGAAGTCGGGGTGCCCAGCTACTCCACTCACTTTGGGACCAAAAACGCCTGGGTATTGCGATTTGCAAATCACGACAAAAGAGATCGGGACCATCATCAAACATCTTGACAGGGTAACTGGCATGGGGAAGGGATTCTCCTGACTCAGATTCTTATGCAACTTATGCCCCTGGAGGGAATTGAGATGATGGATAATGTACAGCACTCTTTCTTAGGAGGAACATGGAGGAACCTCGTGGGTCAGGAGGCGCTACAGGCAGTCATGCCGTTCAATTTGCTGGAGGTTCACTATGAAACCTGAAACCATAGCAGCAGATCGGCTGTGGCGCGCTACTGGCCGCTCCCTCATCGTCTTCATAGTGCAAGTATCGACGGAGACCGAACCGCAGGCGTTCCGACCCCCCCGGAAGGTTCGGACAATAGACCCGTCTACCCAGCCGATCGGGGCGATCAGGGATCTTTGTATTACAGGAACATCATCTCTTCTTGAATAGGATGATGATGGAAAGTGATAGCTGATTAATTATGGAACATCATATCTTAATATATAACTATATCAATGATTTACCCCGTTGGATGATAGAAAATAATCTTCTCCAGGCTGCCTGCTGCCACCACTAGTTCGACACCGCAGCATGCGGCGACCGCGGCGACCCACTTACGGCAGTCGCCGCTGCGTCAGGGAGGCGCCGACGATTGTTGCGGGCGTGGGGGGGGTGAGGAGTCGGGGACCTGGGAGGGGCAGCGCTTCGCCCAGCAACGTTCAAGAGTAAACAACGTCATATTCGCATCGCAATAAAATCACCTCCCCCAGTGATTTTTGTTTGCGGCAAAACGATGTGTTATGAATTGATTGTCGTAATATGTTAATATATGTTAATTATTTTGCTAAATGTAGAAGAGGTTTAAAGTAGGTATATTATTGTAGAGGATTAAGTCAAGCTTATATTGTTTATAATTGTATTGACCGTATTTAGTCTATAATTGACCGTATTCAGTTTATCAATTCTTAAAATTTATCATACAATTGTCATGTTTACACAATTGTTTACATTTTATAATTGACTCGCTCTCAAATTGTTTAACTTACAGCAGTTGATTTTGCAATGTTTCGGTAGCCAGGATATTTTTTGGTTTATAATTGAGTCGTGGTGTACTATTACATATTGTGATGTTAACATTATAATATAGTATAATATATGACTTATTTGACACTTAAGCCTTAAGCAATTATCGATAAGTATCATGAACAATATTGTAGCTTAATGTGTTTTCTTGCGTTCTATCTTTGTGAACGACAGGTCTCTCACAACGAGCAGGAAAAGAAGACTAGCTATCCCACCTTGATGTGGAAGATCAAGACACAGACAAGCTGAATCTCCAATAATATCCAATTTACTTTCCAATAAAGCTCTTTGCACCAGGAGGTCCAGAGGTGGAGAGAGATGCTTGCGCACACGAGAGCACATTTGCTGCGCCTCCCGCCAAATCTGCACTTCAAGGTCCACAAAGTACTGCGCCTGCCACCAAA